TCATCGTCCGCCCCGCCCAGCCCCAGCTGTCCCTGGGATTCAGAGTCCTGCCCTTGATTCTGGTTCTGCTGCTGTTTGAGTCTGGTCAGGAGGCGGGAGATGAACTGGTCTCGAGGTTTGTTGGCGGCAGTGCGGCTCTCTTCCTGCTGCTGCTGCTCGCTGTCTCTCCACTCCAGCCACACATCTCTGTAGGTTGGAGGAAGCAGCTGGTGCACTGACTGAGCGAAAGAGGGGACGAGGAGAACAGAGGTATGGCTACAACCGGAGCAAAAAATGTGAGATGGAGCAGGCCAAGCTGGCTTCTGCATGTCACACATATTACCTGCCCTTTAACCAGGTTGTAGAGAGCCAGGGTGGCTCCCAGATGTTGAGCCTGCATGCTGTCCTCAGTCAGGATGGTGGGACAAACTTCCAGAACGTCATCAATCCTCTGAACACGCACCCTGACGCATTCAAAGACATCATATGAAATCAATATATTTAAATAAGCCTCTAAAAAAAGAATCTCTAACATCATCTGCCACCATATTCTGTATCTTCTGATTGTTACATGCTTTAGTCCAGGCAGCACGGATGCTATGTCAAATAAAAACTAGCAATTCCCAGTTATTCAGAGAGCAATATACAACAGAATGCATGCCTCTGAAAGTGGCAGCAGTTGTGTGGGTGAACCACAGAAAGGCACACTCATACTTACTTGCATCTCCAATATCGACCAGCAGCAACTTTGTTAAAACTCGGCGCTGGACTTTTGGGCAGGTTCTTTCGGACCCAGTCGATGAGGAACTGCTTGGGAGACTTTCCGGTCCAGCTGCGGGCCGTGTAGTCAAAGTTGCGAATGTCCTTCGGCTCATTCTTTTTCACAACTGCATAGAGAAATGCAACAAAGATGTCGGCAACGAAATCTGTCTCACACAGAGGCCTCTGAAAACTGCAGGTTGTCCTCAGAAGGCCCTGAAAGCATGGCTGGGATCATAAATATGTCTTACCATGGCTGCAACTAGCGATTATTTTTAATATCGATTAATATGTCAATTATTTTCCATATAAATCAATCAGTTGTTTGGTCTGTGAGATGTCAGAAAATTGTGATCAATGTTAAATGAAATGTAATATGATATATGTTTTCAAAAGCCGAAGACAACTTCCTCAAATGTCTTGTTTGTCCACAACCCGGAGACATCCAGATTACTGTCACAGATGAATAAAGAAACCAGAAACTCAAGGTTAAGAAGCTGTAATCAGAGGATTTTTACAATTTTTCTCAAATTGATCAATCGAATATCAAAATAGCTGTTGACTGACAGAACTGCTGACACCTGATCAATTCATCGTTGCAGCTCTAATCATAACGATGCAACGATGAGTTGTCAGGTTTATGGTATCAGTTTCCTCAGCTGTGAGTTTGGCATGTTGTCTGTGCCACATTACCATCCTAAAAATCTCTTCCATACACACTTAAATGACTGTATCCCTCCTGCTTTTGGACCATCTGTGCCCTCTGACACTCCTAGAGGTTTAAAAGATTAAGCCACATCATGTAAGAGGAGGTCATCGAACCGTTTAAAACAGCTTTTGAAACTAGTACAACAGGAGGTTTTGGGAATGTTCTGAATTTGAAAACAAACTCATGTTATGTGGATGTGACTTTCATGCCTACAGCGTCTGTTACAGTGGTGCAATGCAGTATATTGAACTTGAACCATCACATTATCAAACCTTAAATATTCTGTTTGTTATATTTTATACTGACTATATCTTATAAAAAACAGAACCTGTGACTCTAGCTTGGATCAGAAGGTACCTTTCTCTGCAGGAGGGGCCTTCTCGGCTTGTTCAAACAAGTTGAAGCTGAGATCCTCTTTGTCCTCACTGACAGGGACTATTTTCTTTTCTTTTTGAGGCACGTCTACCACTTTTATCGCTGGATTGAACACAGGGTGGGACTCCAGTTGTTTCATTTCTAGAAAGACAAAACACTGTTAAATTAGCGGGAAAATGTTGGTTAAATAACACAATAAGAAATGACACGTGATCTGTTTTTTTTTTTTGGTGTTTGTTCTGTTGTATTATTTCATTTATTGTATGAACAAGCTGCTGCTTTTGCACATGTTTAATTTAAGAGGTAAGAAAAGAAATCACATTTGACGAAAGTGAGCCAAAAGTTCTAGAACATTTAAACACCATCACACACCTTGCTGGATGACACGTATCCGGTCCTGTGCTGTCCTCTGACCCGCTTTGTCTCCTTTGGTCTTGGCAGCTGCTGCCATTTCTTTAGCGTCATACAGTTGAGCAGTAAGGATCAAATACCTGTCATTCTACACAGTGAGACATAATAGACACCATTATTGGATCACTACACCATACTGTTATTTACTTTACCAGATTATCACAACTTTCTATCTGCATACAAAAGCTAAAAAAAAAAAGAAATCTTGAGCAACAGTTCAACATGTTGAGAAACCTTCACCGTCTTACTCACAGTTATGAGAATACTGATGCCACTTTCATATCTTTCTATTAAATATGAAGGTACAGCTGGCAGCTTGTTAGCTTAGCTTAGCATAAAGACTGAAACCAGTAGGAAACAGCTAGCGTGACGCTGTCTGCCTACCAGAATCATAAAGTTCACTAACTGACAACAAATAATTTAGATCTCAGCTTTAAGTTGCTTTAATTGTACTTACTGGATCAAATTTTTCATCAAGCTCAGGGTTGCGTGTCTTCTTTCCCCCTTCCTCTTCCTCATCCTCCTCTTCCTCATCACTGCTTTGCTCTGCATATCTTAAGATCCAGTCCTTCATGCTGGCAGCTTCATCCTTCTCAGTGACCTGGCAAACACCGTGCGCACTTATAAGCTTTGTGACAGAACTCAAAATCCGACCAGCCAAGTAAACACACACACCTTGGATGTCTCTTTGCGGGTGTTGTTGGCTGCTTTGGGGCTCTGGGCTTCAGGTTTCGGCTGGACAGCGGGCTGAAATCGAGGCCGGCTCTTCTGACTCTCCTCCTGCATCTGCTGGCTAAAACCATCCGGCAGCTCCTCTGGTAAAACAGGAGATAAATTTGGTTTCATCTTGAAGAACTACTATGATGACAATGTTTAAATGACAGCTGAAGCTCTGTTACCATCTCTAAGGTTGAGGCAGAGCCAGTCGAGAGCAGAGTGGAGATCTCCTCCGTACAGCACGCTGCTCTTCATCGCCTCCTCGATGTGCTCTCTCTTAAATTTGAACCTCTGCAGAGCTGTGTACAGGTCCTGCAAGAACATTCAGAAGGAAACAACCATGATACAACAATCTGTCACAGCACCAAATATATCTATATGTAGTAACTTTGTGAAGCATCAGAGGGATGATTTTTGTCTTTACCAGCAATTTCTTGCTTGTAAGTCTGCCTGATATGGGCCCTTTGTCCCCATTCTCCTGTCTGAAGTCGTTGATCAGCTTGATGATCTTCTTCTCCAGGTCAGCTTGAATGGAAACCTGAGTTAAAGGGTCGAATCACATTCACTGTCAACATTTCTAATGTTTTCCAGCATGAAACACGCTTGATAAACGGAAATAGACTTACTTTAAGAATTGATTTGTCCGAGACACCGCCTGTGTCAACCTGAGCGGTGTTGGCGAGACTGTAGGTCTTTGGAGCTGAGATGAGGACAAAACAGAGCAATAGACAATGTCAGAGGCACTTTTTTTGGCCTTGATTACAATTTATATTCTCACAATTTGCTCATTTATGGAAGCAATGCATTTTGTTTTCCTTTTGCCTTGCAAATTGGTGTCTAATAATATTATGAGTGTCTCACTTAGGGTTTAAACAATCATGTCAATGGTTTTACAAATTCATGTTGTCCTCTTTGAGAGGACGCATTTGATGGCATCTCATGTTGTTATACATTCACATCTATTTACAAGTACTATCCATAAGATCAGGTAGAAACAAAACATCTACAGATGCAAAACTGCAAAATAAATACAAGTCAAAAAACATCAGCTGTAAAACCTTAACAATCAAGACGAGCCCCCAGTATTTAGAAAACAAATGTAAATAAATAAATGGTAAGGTTACAACCCTACAACTGTATATGCAGTTTTACCTGACTAAATTAAATACTAACATCAGGACTCTATAATATTACCTACTCGAGAAAGTTAGCAGATAAATGCAGAGTATTAATCAGGGTAAACAAACATAAGGAGACCAGACCTCAGACCAGAAAACTGTTCATAATCAGGATAGCAACCAAACCACAATACTACTCTTTATCGTACTAAATTACAAATAACTGTATGGAAAGTACAAAAGGGTCCTATATGAAAAGTCTGGCATTGAATTTGGAGAACACTTAAGCCTATCAGTCAAAAAATCAATATACTGTTAGCACATAGAAGCTACAACAAAAATACAGTTTATGTAACAGCACAGTAAAAATATAAGTGTGATAAAGTCATTCTACATTTCATAATAGCTGCTGATCACTAACTCCAGACAGATGACTACCTATGCAGCTGGTCAACACTGCAGGTAACGTGATGTTCCTGAACACAGCATAAATAAAGTGGAGTGAACACAGTGTGGGGTGAATCTGCTGCGTTGTCAGGTATCCCCACCTTTAGACTTGCTCTCTTTGCCTGGTTTGGCCGGTTTGTTGCCTGCTGCCTGTTTCTTCGGCTCCTCCGCCACGCCGGTCCCTGCTGCGGCAGCACCAGTCCTGCCCGCCGCTGCTCCTCCTGCTGCTGCTGCTGCCACCGGAGCGGCCGCCTGCCCCGCCGACTTCTTCTTCTTTCCGCCCATTAGCTCACTAAAACACTGCCTGTGTGTGGGTCCTTTACGTTGCTATAAGATGCCGGGTCATTGACGAGGTGCTGGATAGACGAGCACAGATCAAAAACGACGCTGTGAGGTGTTTCTCCTCTGCTTTTGGACCACACGGCCGCCGTAGAGGAAGTGCAACGACCTCGTGTTGGATTGTGGGAAGCGTGCCGACAACAAACATGGCGGATCCCTTTGGAGACGGTTTGTTCAGCGTGTTTGATGATGAACAACAAGCTACGGCGAATAAAAAGACTCCCGCCGGTGTAGCGACAGAAACAGGGTAAGTTTAATTCGTGGACTGAAGTTTTGTGATTGAAATTAGCAACTTTTGTCGACCAGGGAACCTGAACGCAGCATCATGTGTGCGCGTGCAGTCAGCGAAACAGTCCTAACCGACTAACTAGTTAGCTGGTTAACTTGTCCGTTAAACAACGGAGAAACACCCTCATAGTGCCGGTAAACGTTACGTTTAACAGGTGGTACGTTACAAATACCGTTTAACCGCTTCTTCTGTGAGACTGTAAAGTTTATAGGTGCAAGTATCGCGCTGACGGCCGGTGTGACGTTCAGGTTCAGGCAGCTCGGCTAACAACTGTTTGCTTGTGTTCTTCGCTTTTCCAGGAAAGATAAAGGTAAAGATGGCACCGAAAAGGATTCGGGTCCATCTACCCGGGGCAAGAGGGAGGCAGAAGGTGACTGTGAAGATGATGTGGTGTTTGGGAAGAAGCCTCGACATGAGACAGTCTCAGCTAATGACCTGAAGTGAGTTCAAGTGCAGCTTTATTGTGCTTGTGCAGGATGCTAATGCTAACTGGACTTGTTGGTGAAGAGTCACTTGCAGGTTTATGAGCAATGTTGAAATTTATGCTCCTTTGGAAAATACTGTCTATCTTTAACTGTATTAACAGTTATTCAAGCGTTGTTATCAGTTGCTGGTACATTAAACTACTCAAATATGTATAAAGCAAATTAAAATGCTTGCTCAGAAAAATACCAACAGGTCTGCTCAGGTTGTTGATTTTACCTCGTTTTTTTCCTAGCTAGAAATGTCCTAGATGTAATACTATGCTGTTGCTTTCTCTAGAAAATGCAAACCTAAAACACAGTCCCAATCTCCACCATAACTTCTGAGATTTATACCCTCATACACCTAACTGGCATTACAGCTGTAGTATGTGAGTTTGTGAGGGCTTGAAATTATATATAACAGAGAAATGGGACCCCCTATCCCAACAGCACACATTGTGTGGAAACAACATGTCCCAGGTTTTTTTTTAAAAAGAAAGGAAAAGTGATTTTTTGACTCGCGTTTCATTTGTATTGTCAAAAGCTGCTCAGTTGACCACTCCGTGTTTGTGATGTTAGTGTTTCATTTTAGCAAACTACCAAAAGTCAGGTAAACCATGAACATATGTAAAATCCAACGCAGACATTTAACTGACTATACAAACAACTCCACAAGTATGCAATAAATGGACCCTGCAAGCAGCCAGATGTTATCATTGATAGATAACCTTCCTCTGGACTTTCTTTACTGCATTATTCACTCTTAGTTTGTGTACATTTTGCGTGGGGGCAGGACAGCCATATTTATATATCGCCAATATTACTGTGACCTATAGGCACAGTGGTCCCTCAGCAAAGTCTGCAGATATACAGACTTACAGAAAGGGTGCATTAAAGCATTAGAAAGTCTGTATCAGAGCCCTTGTGCACCTGACTATTTGACTTTTAACAGCCTTAAATCCTCAGGCACTAAACAGGGTAGGACCTCAAAGTCTGTTAGTTCAAAGGTTGGGATTGGGCCTAGTTCTAGTTCTTGCCTTTGTCGTCTCTCACAGCAGCTCCAGCACACCATGCACTCCATACACTACACAGTGATGAAATATTGGAGTAGTTCAGAAACACATGTTCAAGCCAGAAACCCAATTTTAAAGAATATAGATACAGGAGGCCCTAACTTTCAAATTTACAGGATTGGTTACTTAGGTTTGTTTTGTATGAAACCCTGAATGTGTGAATCTGTGTTTTTGAGACAGTCATTGGTGTGCTACTGTTTCAAGGCAGAAATACTTGGACATTCTGTTGACCGCTAGTGTTGCTCATGATGTCTTTTAGCATTTAAAAACAGCATGTGGACATCATGGTGGGGTTGAAAAACTTGCATGTTTATCTCGATTATTAAATGATTTTGAAATGGTTTAGTTTATCAAGAGTGTCAAGCCCCAAGGAATGTCTAGTGTTATTTTATGTTTTCTGAAAAACAGATATCAACAGAAGATGCTTTTTTTTAAGAAACTGTTTTAAATTTTCATAGATAACTAGAAATGTTTTCACTTTTTCTTGACTACAATATGATGCTAACATTTTAATCAGTTAAACAAAATGGTTTCTAATCATTATTTTTCCATAGATCTACTAATCAGTTATTCAATCAGTCTAGTCTCAGATTGCAGTGCTTTTATGTGAAACAGGGGTTATTGCATTGCTGGATCATTTTTCTTAAGTCCTACTTCTGGCACCAATGCAGTTCAGTGCAACAGTTTTGTAAAACCTCATGAAGATGAGAGCACTATGGTTTGTTTACACTGTTTTAGAAAGCTTTCATGGACATCTTGGAGGCTTCGGCTTGTGGTGCTTTTTTTCGATGGTGTTTTGTTACACTGAAAGGTCGGTAGTGTTCAGACTACACTCAGTATTGATCTACAGTTTTAGCAAAGTGTATGTAATAAACTGGCAACTGAGTGGCTCTCTGAGTGGAAACATATCTCCTTTCATACGCTGTCATATCAATTGATTATTTTCAGTGTTGGTGGGTGAATTATTTGTTGGAGATACTTAGTTGTCTTTTCCTTTTTTATTTCAGTCTTGCAGAGTTTATGCCTCAAGTGAAAGTGGAGCAAGTGGAAACTGTGGAAGGATGCTCACATGAGGTAAAGAAAGCACATTTGATGTATTTGGTGTATCTTTTTTTTTTATTGGTCACTTGTTACCTGACTGATTTCCTTTGACATGTCAAAATGTCTGCCTTTTCCTAACAGGTTGCTCTGCCTGCCAGTGATGAATATAAACCGCTGAAACCACGTGTGGGGAAAGCAGCCAAGGTATAACAGCCTTTTGAATGTCAGAGTTCTCTTTTGGAGTTAATTTACTTTGTTCAGTGTTGGATGTTTGCCAACTATCCAATTCAGTATTATTTATAGAGCACTAATTCACGACATGAATCATCTCAGGACACTTTACACAGTAAGGTCAAGACCTTACCATATTGTATTACAGAGAGAAGTGAAACAAATCCAGCGATTCCCTTTGAACAAACACTTTGTGACAGTGTCGGGGGAAAACACTTTTTTCATTTTGTTTCAAATTCTTTGTGGTAATGCATTTTCTATTATGTATGGTGGCTCATTATTGGAATCATTTTCTTCACTTTGTAACAGCATCACGTGGTTTCTAAAAGAAATGTACTTTCATGTTATCACACCTACAATTCTACAATTTCATTCACAGACGCTTTTATCCAAAGCAACGTACATCAGAGAGCAGATACAACACATAAAAGGATCTAGTCAGGAGAAAACAATCTAGATAAATACCTTTAGCACTGCATTGTGTTTGTGAATTTACACGAACTTGCGTCACGCTTTTGTTGTTTTTGTTTTGATGCATCTTGTTTGTCTTGCAGGAGTACCCTTTTATTCTTGACCCGTTCCAGCGTGAGGCCATCTTATGTATCGACAACAACCAGTCTGTGCTTGTGTCTGCGCACACATCTGCTGGCAAAACTGTTTGTGCTGAGTGAGTATTCTCAATAAACACAACACTATTTAAGGAATCACTGTTGTTGTTGTTGTTTTCATTTCAGCATCTGATAATGCTCAGAATACATTCCTGACAGCTAAGTGGTCTAGCCCGTGTTACTTCTTCATCATCTTCTTGCAGATATGCCATTGCACTGGCTCTCAGAGAGAAGCAGAGAGTGATCTTCACCAGCCCCATCAAGGCTCTCTCCAACCAGAAGTACAGAGAGATATACGAAGAGTTCCAGGATGTGGGTCTGATGACTGGGGACGTCACCATCAACCCCACGGCCTCCTGTCTTGTCATGACGACAGAGGTAGGACAGTTTTGTGTGGATTGGAGGCATTATAATATATAGTAGATATCACCCTTATTGGAGAATGTTTTTTTGTTTTTTTTAAAAAGTGTACTGCAGATTCAGTGTCCAGCTGGCGAGTAGCGACAGAGCCAAGAGGTTGTTCTGATGTGATATAGTTGTTGTTTTTTTTTTATTTTTTTTTACCCCAGATCCTGAGGAGCATGCTGTACAGGGGCTCTGAGATCATGAGGGAAGTGGCGTGGGTCGTCTTTGACGAGATCCATTACATGAGAGATGCAGGTATGTACAAAATAGAAAAACAGCACAAACNTCAATGTTCTAATTTTTTGTGATTTCTTTATTTAAAATAGACATTATTGAGTTTTCTCTACTTCCAGACATGGTCATGCTGTTTCTTTAGAGCTGTAAAACTTTACAATTCAGAAAAATCAGCCGACAGTGAGTCAAAATGTGACAGGAGCAAAGAACGGCAAGAAAAAGTTAACAACCTATCAAATGAGCATGCAAACTGTGTAAGTGGTGCCTCATCACGTCGTTTTACTGTCTTTTAGCTCATTGTTATGGTTTTACAGCCTGTAACTTTACAGCTCTCTCGCTGTTCTGACTAACTGTTTTCAGTGAAAGAGCTCTGATAAACCCAGTGTTCACTATCAGCCTCGAACCAAACAGCAGATGATTATCAGCCGAACATAATGGAGCATTTAGCAGCTAAGGACGTTTCCATTAGGAGTTGCCAGAGACCCAAACAAACAAAGGAGAGTAAATATTGAACATGCATTCATCAAATGAACACAAACCCGATACTAAATGAATGAATGGGTGTTAAAACAGGTGCTAAGACATTTGCGATATCAACTTTTTAAAGTATATCAGTGTTGTGTTTCTAACTTGTTCTTGTATGCAAGTGGCCAAAAAAAACAATCAAAGCAGGTTATTTTTAACCTCAGTTTAAAAAAACCCCTCCTAGGACAAACTTTTAACTCTATCTCCAAAGTCATATATTAACTAGACTCTGACCTAATTATTTCTGTCCCTTTGTGTGCATGTGTGTGTGAAGCTGTATGAGGAAGTGAGGAAGTCGCTGGAGCAGTGTGACATCCAGGAAGATATCGAACACTTTGTAAACCTCAGACGGACCGGCGACAAACCGGCAGGTGTGAATGCAGCAACAATTCAGTGACAATATCGTGCCATGAACAATTAACCGGCGCTGGAATGCAACGGGGGGGACGTGATTATCAGATGATGCACAAGCACACGCTGTTTCTGCAGTTTATGTGAACAGTGTCCATCTTCCTCTCTGACAGCTGCTGTTTTGTATGAGAACTTCTACAGTGGTCAGAGGTCTCCGATTGTAGCTCCTCCCTCTCGGCAGCCTCCACCAATCACAAGGTAAACAAGAAATCTGTCTGTTTTTGATTTCATTCCTGTTCTTTGCTACTTTTATAGAGCACTAAAGGCACAGTGTTGATTATTTTCCTTGTTTTGGTGAATTTACAGGAGAGGGCGGCCACCACCTGAGCCAACACAAAACAGTCAGGGTACGTTTTCCTTTTCAGCTTCAGTAAAGTGTGCAGTCAAGTTAGAATTACCAACCGGGCAAAGCAGGCGGCTATCTCAGGTTTACTCCATATCATACTTTGATTACTGCAAATGTACCGTATCAGCGATGTCAACACACCAGTCAGCCACAACACAAAAACCGCCTGCCTGAAGTTGTGTGGGCTTCCCTTGTGCCGCCAAAACAGCTGTGGGACCTCTGGGGGTGAGGATCCTTTGGGTCCTGTGGGCTGTGGGATGGACCCTCCGTAGGTTAGACTTGTTCCAGCGGCTTCCACAGATGCTTGATCATTTATTTTTTTTTATTTTACCTTTGTTATAACAGGTAAAAAGTTTCAGAACCAGTTCTCATTTGCAAACATGACCTAGCCAAGAGGCGCCAGCAGGAACAAACAAAGAGTTCATATACAAAAAGAGATAACTCCAAACTTATTTTGTTGTTGTTTTCTAGAAATAATATTAATCAAACTGAAGTTGAGTGGATTTGACTCAGTAGAAATGACAAGTTTGATTGATATTGTCTTAGGTAGACGACGGAAAAGTGGGTTTTCTGAAGGTTTATCAAGATGGAGTTATCTGTTTTTGCAAATGAACTCTTCAAATACAGTACATGTAAATTACAGACACAAATAGACACATGAACATAGCATAGAAGAAGTATGGGAACATATGCATGTGAGTGAGGAAAGATGTGCATGAGGTGTAAGAAAATGTGTGTTTATATATAAGTGTGTGTGCAAGTGAAGTCTGGCGTGATCAGCAGGAGCAACAGTCAACTACAATCTGTTGGATTTTAAGCTTGAAGGTGGTGAGTGGAGTCACAGTTGCAAGTTTGAGGGTGTTTCATTAGCTGATGCAAAGTGAAAGGAGTTAAGGCCAAAAACAGTAGAAGTGTTGTGTATGATGAACTTGATGTATTCACTAGACCTAAAAGAATTATGGCCGATGTGTAGAAGAGAGGACAGATTGAGATCTCGGGAGTTAGAAGGGTCGGGTCAATGTTTTGAGCTCTTGGTCGTGTTCCTCGAGTAGTTTTTGCAGTGTGCGTTGTTCTGCTGGGGGAGTCTGCTGCCATGAGGGTTGTGCGCTTGGCCTGTGACAATGTTTAGGTGTCCAAGTGACATCAGCATGAGTGCCAGGACCCAAGTTTCCCAGCAGAACGTTGCAATGTATCGGGATGATTGGTGTCATTCATGTAGGTGGTTTTAGTGTAGCGGCTGCTCAGCGTTTGTGTGAAACAGAAGGTGTTTTTCGTTGTTTGATCGTGTGCCTTCATGCCTAAAATCTCCTCTGTTTTTCTGTTTGTCTCTATTGCAGATGCAGTCTACGCCACGGTGCAGGACGCCGGCTACAGTCTTATCCAGTACTAACGCACACAGATCTGCCTGAGGACATATAGTACATGTTGTGCAGCACAGACAGCGAGTTTACCGACTACATGTCATTACTTCCTCCTTTGTGAGCTCCTGTAAACATAAGTTCATACCAGACGCAAAGTTTGTGTCATAACTGTGCGCATAAGGAGTTAAAGGCGAGGTTGTGTGGCGTTTTGAACATATCACTGTGTTATAAACAGTATAGGAAATGTCTTTATTTTATTTTAAGGAGAAAAAATATTAAAATAATCCAAAAGTATGTATTTTTCAAATTTAAAAAAGGCTACAAAGGGGATTTCTGATTCATATTTTGCTGAACTTGACACATAAAAGTGATTAAACAAACCGAAAACAGTGACATCTGTCTAATTACTGGATGAACTCCTACACAGAGCCTGGTAGTTACTATTGTGTGTGTCACGCAGGGCTCTTTTCTTCTACATAACTACATCTTTCAGCCTCGTATTTATTTCTCCAAATCATCGCGTTTTAAAATAGAGATTGACAAAGTAGGACAAATTTTCATCTGTTTACTTGTTTTCATTTCCTCCATGTTGTGAAAGTCGCGTGTCAGCTGACAGCAATCCTGTGATTGGAAAGGGTCGCTTACAAAATTGCAACACACTGTTTTCTTAATTCTTCAGTGAACTGTCAAGTTTTATGGTGACATTCCGGTCAGTCAGATGCATGTGTGATGATCACTGGAGGAGTTTTGTTGAAAATTTTGCACTTTAATTTTGCTTTATTTATACAAAAAAATGCACAATTTGTAAAAAGAAATGCTACAAAATTTGGCTGCATTTGAAGTTCCAGAAGTAAAGATTCTCTAATTGATCCTGGTGTTGGTTTTCTGTTCTTCAGACTTTTCTGTTGACAGTAGTCCAAACCTTGTCCACCAATTTAAACTGTGTTATTACATCTTTAACATGGTGTAATGTTCTATTCTCACCTGTTATTATGTACAACTGTGAATGAATAAGGACATCTCATGGGAATTTTCTTTTTTTTTTTTTTTAAATATTTGAACAAGCAAACATTTGATCCAAAAAGTGCCTACAAATAAAGGTGGCTTTCTTGAACAAAACAAGGACAATTTGCTTTTTCAGTCATTTATTCAACAAAAACATAAATAAATGTGATATTCTTCTGAAAAAGTAAGTCCACTCAGGAGCTGGTATCGTCCCCTTTAGCAGATGTAACTTCTTGTTGACATTTTCCATAGCAGTCCATTATCTCTGACATCAGCTTGTTGAAACTTTTCAACGTTCTTTAGTGCAAAATTCCAAAATAGTTTGAGGGTTTTCTTCTATATACTGCCTGTTTCAATTCCCTTCACAACATTTAATGGTATTTAAATGTACTCTTCCACAACCTTACATTTCTTCTTTTTATGCAATGAGATCTATTGTGTGTAGCTTCATAATCTTGTTAAAGGCTCCACCTCTGGTTGAACTTCAATTTTTGGACAGTTGTTTTTAAGTCAGCACAGAACATATCTGCTTTTACTGAAGCCAAACAACTCTGTCTTTGATTCATTTGTTCAGAGCAAGCCTGGTCTTTGCCTGTAAGTTTGCTGTCAAATTGCAGTTTTGTTCTAATATTCTTATTGTACAGCTGAATCTGTTGCGTCTCAGGTACAGGTAAAATTTGTTCAGTCTCCTTCTGATTGTAGAGGCAGAACTTTGACACCAGAAGCTACAACAGATACCTGCAGACCCAGTGATAAAGCTTTATAGCTCATGGGGACTCCTTTCTGTATCAAACACTCTGCTCTTGGGCCGATCCTGGACAAACTGTCATTAGAATCTACGTCACTTGTGGATCATGTTCCTAACAATGTAAAGATTTACTAAGATAAGTGATTCATCTCAGATTACTGTTCTTATCAGATCCCTTGCCAGACTCAGGCACCCACAACCTTTTATCCTCAAGGCCTTACAGAGCTCTGTAAATCTTGGCATGATGACACCACACACTTCAGTAGCAACTAGAAAAGCAGACCCTAGATAGCAGAGGTTTAAATAAGTCAGGCTCAACCTGTCACTCTCTAAGGATGTTCCAATAATTAGCACCTAGTCCAGATCTACTGATTTTGATTTTATAGAACTGAAGAATGTCATTTGTTTGAGTATGTCACCTTCATCTGTAGGTACTGTTTCAAAGAGGATCAAACCTTTGCTTGTTCAAATATGTCAAAAAAAAAGCCAACAATACCCCTCATGTACACAATGTAATGTGATACATAATGAATAGAATACTGAAGATTTTATTTTCACTGTCAACCATGACACAATGAACATTTCAAATAAAAACAAAGAGCTTTATTTCCATCACATTTGGCATCATCATTATCTTATTTGTTTTGTCCTTTTAAATGTTAGCATCTCTTTATGCATTTCATATTATACAGTCCTCCTCAATGTGAGTTAAGAGTTCCTGGTAAGCACCAGTTCATCTTTCGGACACCACATCTGTCCACTGGGTGACAGTGTGTCTGCAGGCATTTATCTTGAGTACTGAAGTCCTTCAGGACAACTGAAGACAGAAGCCTGCTGATAGTAGCTGTAGTTGATCATGGAAGAAAAGGTGTTGGTCGTTCTTCAGTAGCAACCTGTGGCGGCTCGCTGTTACACAGCATGCTCCGATTTGATCAGATCAAGAATCACCGGGATGGTCGTCTCACCTACAGAGAGACAGACACAGTGAGATCCAGCAAACAAGAATTTATAATTACAATTGTGACAACACTTCACACAAATGTCCAATAGTATAAAGTGATGGATGGAGTGATGAAAGTGTATAGTCAAAAGGTCACAAGTCTAGACAGACATGAATGTAAACTGCAGCTTGACTGGTTGTTGGAGGAACACTACCAGGACTTAAAGGGAAAACTGTCACTGTGTTTCCTGGGTTTACCTTCCAGATTCATCCGAGGATTCTCCAACTTCTTCTCAAGCAAAGAGTCCATCAGTTTCCTCAGGTGTTTGAAGATCACACCGATCCGCACAGGAGCCTTTAAAAGTGAAAGTAGAGAAAGTTTATCTTTATAGAACCCCAATTTAAAAAGAGCAAAATATAATGTAAGATATAAATGAGTCAAAACAGAATAAAACAGATTCAACTGGAGAATAAAATTACAGTGCAGCGCAAGATGGGAATAAATTGTTCCAAATTAAATGTAATTAAAAGCGGCGATTTAATCTCTGACTTTAAAGAAGAGATTTAAAGCAGATCTCAAGTTTTCTGGGAGTTTGGTCCAGATATGTTGAGAATAAAATCTGATGTTTGATTTTGACTCTGGTGACAGTAGGTAGACTTGTGAGGTCTGGACTGATCAGAAATGTATTTTAGTTCTAAACCATCTGCAGCTTCGTAGACTAATAGTGAGAGTTCAATATCAGTTTGATGACACCGTAAAGAACTAGACTGATGTGATATTTTCTAGGCTTTTACTCTCAAGAGCATCACAAATGAAATGTAACAGACACAAGAGAAGATCCAATCTATCATCCTACAAAGTAAAGTTTGTCAGAACACACCTGCTGCTGCTACAGGAAGTGACAGAAAAGGAGATGACAAATGAATTCATGGAAAGTTTTGATGCCACACTGAACCAAATCCCACAATAACTCTCTGTGATGTCTGACCTGGAAGTGGATCCATCCGTCCAGAGTGATGAGTCTCTCTCTGTGCTGAATATCGATGTCGCCTCCGAACAGCAGCATGGGGAAAGGCGATATCAGAGTGGTGTCTCGCAGGTAGATCTTCGTGTACTTCACCTGTGGGGACCAACATTTGTAAACACAAGTGCAAAATACAGATAAAAAGACCACCAGCATCCTCCATCCATACCTTCTCCTGGTACAGCAGCCAGCCGTGTGTCTGCAGGTTGCGGTTAACAGACGAGGGGTGGACCTGCGCCTTTCCTTGAGGCGTCTCCACAGTGCAGGCCACTCGCTCCAGCACGTCCACCGACGGGGTGCACAGGACTCGGCCCACGCTGTCGTAGAGCCCCGCCGTCAGCACCGCGTTCAGGATGGAGATCTGCTGCTTGGACAGCGAGGACGTCTGCTGCTGCTGCTGCTTCAAGCGAGACGAGGAGGAGCGAGACGACCAGAAACCCGCCTGCTCCATCATCTTCATCAGCTCGTGCTTCACATCCTGTGGGGAGGACGGAGTCAAGCACGACGGATTAGACAGAAATGAGTGAATCCTAGATGAGAATGTACGTAGATGTGACATGTTACCTCTATTGTAATGAGAGCTGTTCGATTGAGGAAGTGTTTCCTACAGTAGGACATTTCTGTTCTCTGGCCCTCCGTCTGTGAGTTCTTCCACCTAAAAGAATAAAGGAGGTCATGAGAAATGAATCCTGACACTGATCATTTGTTTAAATACCCCAAAATGTTTGTTTTTGAGTGAAGTGGTAGCTTTATTTGTCTTTTCTCCCATCTGTCTCTACTACATCTATCAAATAAGGACCAAAAACAACTAATAACAACTGTTTATGTGTATTTGTTTACATAGACAGCAAATATTCCAAGATTTCTTCAGTGTTTACCAAATAAGATTTAAGACTTTTTAAGGCCTTTTTAACCATATGGGATTCAATTAAACACATTTTCCACACTCTCATCAGTCAAACATGGACAGAAAACCAATCAGGACACTAAACCTACAATTATTTACGACAACATGAATTCATTAACATTTGAATTATATGTTTGTTTGTACCTTCCTGCACATTGTACAATAACTCTTAGCAATGCTGTATGATTAAATGATGAAAGAGAACCAAATGGATGAATTTGATTCATGCAATAGCTGCTTAAAAAATAAATCATTCAAGCTTTTCAATTTGAGACAATGACCTTTGTAGCTACTTTGATTAGCAGCAGTGACAGTATTTGCTACACGATTGCTGACGGTGACAAAAAGAAATGCCTAAAAATAGACTAAGCAGCCTCCTGCCGCTGTTGCATCAGCCCCACTAGCTTTTTATAGATGTATATTGTCTCGTGACAGGTCATGAAAACACAACTAAGGTTATCATAAAAGGATGGCTCTTCAGTATCTACAGATTCCATGACTGATTTATTCGTTTTAATGTCTCCACTGAAAACATCTCAGTGGTAATAACTCAATATTTGTGCGCGATCGATCTCAGAACAGAACAGTCAAGCACTTGAACGTTTTCCGACTGGTCCGTACCCCAGATATGCGTTGTATATGGTCAGGTGGTCAGAGTTGGCTAACGCCAGCGCAGCTTTAGCCAGGTTAGCTTCCTCCTTTCTATTCATTGGTGTGGAGAAAGGAGACTTCTCTGTGATGGCTGCTGCGATGGTCGCCTGAAACAAGTCTTTTGTTAATTTTCACAAAATATAAGAAGCTAGTAATGGTTTGAAATATCTAAAATGAATAAATCTTGTAGTACTAAGATGTAACTGTCAAACACTTAGAAATGATCAGAGTGTTTGTTTTTGGAGGAACAAGGCAGAGGGACGTACTATGGGCTCCAGGCAGCCGAGGATGGCTCCATAGATGAGCATCTTTCCGATCTTCACGTTGACCGGCAGACTCGCCAGGTGGTGTCCCAGAGGGGTGAGGACGTGATCGCTGGGGTGACACGCTCCGATCTTCCTCAGCAGGTTGACGGCGTTACTGACCGACTGGGGCTGTGGAGCGTCCAGTGCTCGGCTCAGGAAGTCCTCCGGGGAGCCGTACTGACATTTCTACCAGACAGGAGGAAAAGTGTTTGCCTTTGTGTATATTCCTACTCTTGAGGTGTGACTGAGAGTGACTTATATACCATAATATGCAGACAAAGCTCCTCCAGTGGGACCCGCAGAATCTCTGGAATGGAGTAATCCATGAAGGCATCAAACCTGAAGCCAAAGAGCCATGAATTAAAACAGGAATGCAGTTTTGTTGTGTGACTTGGCTGTTGGAATACATCTTCTACATCTAATGGAGAATCATTTGTGTTCTTGCTTCCATCCACATCTCCACACAGTGAATGATGAACTCCACACCTGTACTTTGGGTAGAGTCTGAAGCAGAAGCCGTTTCTAACACGTCCTGCCC